CGCCGAGGAAGGCGAAAGGAGCCCAGCAGGCGACGGACCATGATCTGTGTTGTGTTAATCCAGGCTTCATGCGTGATGTAATGATGGTGGTGACTTACACGCCACAGCAAGCAATGATGATGGTTGCGTGCCTCAAACTTCTCACAAAAGGTGCCATGACCATGCTTCCTGCAAAGATACAATGCGCAGTTGTCCACGCGGTAAGCAGGCTTGGTTTGTATTTCGCCAGTCCTGTTAACTGCTTAGGTGGGCGGGAGAAGCCAGGACCTTTTTCGTCTTCTTCTGGGCTCTGCACGAAGAAAGGCAGGAGAACAGACATTACAAATGTAATGATGGAAAAGGCGATGAGGGCCATGGAACCAATGCGGCCGACCTTGCCTGTGAGGTCACCAGCAGCTTTGACTTCCGCTGGGGCGTCGTATCGTAGGTATACTTCACCAACCCACGTGGTGCTGTAGAAGAGGAAAGGAAACCAGCCTAGCCACTGTCAGTTCTTGATCACAAAAACAATATAATAATGACATACCAATCCAAGCCCAGAACTGGACTGTGCAGATAGCCTGGATACTTCTAGGCAGATTCAAAGCAGTATGCACGATGGTACCGAGAACTTGCTTGAGATCCAGCTCCTTGCCCTCCTCCGCCCCATCATTAATGAGCACCCTCTCCGTAACAGCCCAGCTCGTTGTCCCAATCGCCAAGCAGAGCGTCAACGCCGCAACACCCGTCAACTGCTTGAACTGTGTATCTCCCAACATAGGTCCAAACACATTCTTCAGATCAATCGCTCCTGCCCCGTACCCAATCAGACTTCCGACCGCCACCATCCTACTCGCCCAACTACTGCCCATTTGCTGTTTCGCAATTGGCAGCGTATCGACGACCAGGCCTCTGCAACTCCCCTGCACGGCATTGATAGCGAAATCAATACCGTATATACTAAACACCGCCACGTATATCGTTGCGCTCTTAGCCGCAGCCTCATCTTTTATAAAGTACCGAACCACCTCTTTCGTCCAGCCCAGCAGCAACAAGAACATGGCCACCAGGATCGTACCAAAGAACATGAACGGTCTCCGGCGGCCCCAGCGAGAGGTAGATCGATCCGCGACGACACCGACGATAGGCTGCATTATAAGGCCTGAGAGCGGACCGGCGACCCACACGAGGGATATCTTCGATTTCGTAAGCCCGAGTTCGAGGAGGTAGGGTGTGCAGTATGTCATTTCGACATTCCACGTGAACCTGCATGGTGCTTAGTACAGGGCGCAGGCAGAACTCATGGGAAGCGGGGAGTTACTGCAGGCCGATGAGCGAGGCTGTGAGCAACGCCATGCGTATGCTCTCAGTCGAGCCCTTGACTGAGGGTGTGCCCTGCCATTGCGCAACAGACGGCATCTTCCCCTAGGACTATCCTCGTCCTTGTACCGTGGCAGCAACGTGGACGCAGTCGCGTGCGCTGCTCTCGGGGGTCTTCGCGTAGTTAGGGAAACGTGGAAGGGCGCATTGGGTAGCCGGATCGTGTGGTAGGATTTCGTATTACGTTCGCGATATGCAGGGACTCGGTCGGGCCAGGTATCGATTAGAGAAACGCGCTTAATGCATCCACGTATGAGATGACAAGAAGGTGGGAAAAGCAATAAGAGAAGTTCCAAGGGAGTGAATGGAAGTTGGTATTTGTCTCGTGTCTAGGAGTCTAGTCTGAAGAGGGGAGGGCAAGGCGTGCAAAGGAGGAGAGACGTCGTCAGCTCCATGGCTTGGCCGTGTCGCTTGTCGAGATGATTACGGATGTCGGGATCGTGGAAAGGGCCAAACGGCCGCTGGATGGAGCTAGACTGTTAGACCGAGCGGGCCGTGTGGCGCACCCCCGAACGTCTGGTTCGGCGCAGTTAGGACCGATGGCCGTGGAGCTGTTGCTCGTACTTCGCATGTTGGCATCTTCATGTACATTTGCTCGCTGTAACGGTGTCTTCATTCAGTGTATCCGGCATGTGCGTCATAATGATGATTACTGGGAGCAGGGTCCTTCCAAGCTAGCTCCTCTCACGGCGCAACAATATCCAAGGTTTCGGCAACATACTGATTGACTTTTCTATGACATGCATTGCAAGAAATCAAGGAACAAACTCGTAACCCAAAGGAGATCTAGAACAAAAGGAAACAAAGAAAACCACCGCTTCCTGCAACACTCAAACCTAAGATCAAAACACAGATGGAAAGCCCGCCTGCTCACTCTTCCAAGAGTATCTATCTCGCATCTCTTATCCGCTAGTAGTCGTCTCAAATGCGCAGCCTCGACAGTTCCGGCGTTGAGTCGTCTTCCAAAGTTCCTGAGCTGTTTTCCATCCAATTCTGGCCCTCGTCCCTGTCCAGTGGAAGCTGTCTGACGATGACAGGCGACCGACCGTTCTTACGCTCCGCGAGTACTGCCTGCACGATTTCGTACTTCGCCGTAATGTATTCGTCCATGGTCCACTTCAAATCTTCGGACAAGTCACTGACTCTGTTCGCAATCTTCACACCAGCAAGTTGCTGTGGTCGCGGACGCATGTCGAGCTGGTGCTGGAAGTAGCCCCACCCGTGGGTATTTGACTGCTCGATGATGTAGATGTTGTTCGTATTTTCGATCATGGGCTCGAAGTCTTGTAGCAGCCAGACAGAACCAGGCTTGCCATCGTCATCTATGACAACGACCATGACCCAATCTGTCTCTTCCCAATGAATCTCCTGCAGATCTTTCCCTTCGGGTAGCTTGCCATCGTCGGACCAATGCTTTGCGTCGACTGCTTGCACCTTCCCGATCGTAAAGCAAGCAAATCCGGTATGACCGTTGCCTTGTACCATGCTGTGGGTACTGGAGGAACTGAACCGCGATTCTTCTGAAGAATTATCCTGCTGCCTTGCCGAGCGCTGCCGAGCCGGATCCGTGTACGAGATCCTCGTTCCAGCTGGCAGATCGATCGCGATGAATCCTTCGCTGGCGAATTCACGTGGGTCGTCCCAGTTGACTTTTTCTTCATCAGGTCCGAGTATCAACATACACGGACTAACGGCATAACGATAACCATGATGGGTTCCAATCGGGATACAAGGGTAGAAGTATGAGCTCAGGCGTTTGTAAAGCTTTCCGAGAGATCGGTCGTCCACGTAGTCGGTCTTCGCGAGAGTATCGATGTAATCCTTGGCCGTTCCGCCTTCAGGTACTGTCCGGCTCTTTTTGTCCACAGCGTGTACCCAATCCCAGAACTTCTCTTGCTCCACCGCACTTGGTAGTGCAGCTTCGAGGATCTGGCCCTCGTTCTCGAATTTGTCGTCAGGATCTTTTGAGGAAGTGTCGCCATCGCCTTTGGATCGGAGCTTCTCTCTTTTCGCGAACATCCTCTCTCGGATGGACTTGTAGTTCGGCTTATCCATGACGACTAATACAGATTGTTGAGTAAGCGAAGTTGCGGTTGTATCGATAGTTCGTACCAGGTCGGATTTCGAGGTGAAGTCAACGAAGAAATGTGGACGAGTGGTTTCAGGATTTGCGTGCGCACTTAATAAGTACCTAGATATTTGGATGAGTCACCGCGTTTGTGCGGCAATTACAGGCGCCACGCCCGCGTGCTCTCACCTTTCAAGGTTGGGCCAAGCAAGCCCTGTAGACAATCCACTTGGCTCGCGCGTGAGCGCGAAATCCATACCAGCCAGCTAAAGAAAACTGAGCTTTTGCGCATCAATCGCTTAAGTTTGGCTTTTGGAATCTTGTTGAGTACGGGGAATGGCAAAGGGCCCCAAGGTTGCGTTCAGCTACCACGGTTTGTGCTACCTAGGTACCTTAGGCACCGTCCAATCAAAGTGCGTTTGTTGGATACCCCCGCAAGCGCGCAGACAACAGATCATGAAAACATCGGAAAGTTTAACTTCACAGCAATCGTCAAGTGCTCAGCTTGCGTCAGCCCGCCACTTGCGGTGTGCGTATGCGGACCAGATTCTTCCATCCCGACGTCACGTTGATCGCTGTTGTTGGATTCATGAGCATTTTTTTACTTTTCTACGGACATGCTATCAAAACGACGAATGTTACAGTCGTGAGTATCATACCAAATGCATTGAACATGTGTCGTGCGGATGGAGGAGTATTTGCCAAACTCATTACGAACTGCGTTGATTCTACCAACCCTCACAGCGGCACGAACCCATATGAAGCGATCAACAACGTAGCCCTTGAAACTTTATAGATTATGAAGAATGATGGCACCTTTAAATAGATTGGATGTATGCAGAGGGCATGATAAACCCGGTATTCACGATCGTGGTATATGCCAAGAGATGACCGACTGGATGAAATCAAAATAAATACATATATACGACCTACATATCTTGCGGTAGAGTGATGATGTTCAGTCGTTGAAGTCAACACATCCAAGTCGAAGACTTACTCAAGATTGCATATGCACAGGTGGTTGGACCACCATTGGCACTTAAGAGAGAACATCATAATATCACATCATAGTAAGGAAGCACTTTAAAGAATGGTATTTTTTTGGGTTTTTTGGTTGTGGCTATGGGAGGCAAACGTAGAATGAGAGAAGGGGATTTCTAATAGGTGGACGAACGCCACATGAGATGGACACTAGACAGGGTGGAGGCGTGAAAGGAAAAGGAGACAAGGGGCAGGGAAAAGGGCAGGGAAAAGGGCAGGGAAAAGGGCAGGGAAAAGGGCAGGGGAAAGGGTAGGGAAAGGACGGTGGAGCCAGGAGGATGCGCAAGTAGGAAATAACGCGAAAAGTAAGACAAAGAAGCGACAAGGAGAACACACGAGTAATAAACATCGTGAGAAGAAAGACGAAGAGACGAGAAAGAGAGCTCGACAGTGATCAAGCGACCACAGGAGGGAAGCAGCACCGTTCTTCGCCGCAGGGTAGGCAATGCCGGTTTTGATGGAGGAGTTGCATGTCGATGCCGGAGTGATGTGGTGTCGCGAAAGTCGTACCAACCGCACTCATCTCTTGGAACTAAAAAAGGTGGGTGCTCTTCTTTTTCTTGAGAGACTTTCCTTTCAGCTCGGCCACTCTGGGAGATTGGGGTCGGTTGGCGTCGTTCTGTGCATCATCGAAGGCGAAGCACTGACAGGCTGCAAGTGCCTCGGCGCACTGATGAAACCATGGGCAATGCCTGCCCCAGTCGTATTTCTTCAAGTGATCGATAGTCGGCTCGTAGTCTGTAGATGGTGTCATGTGTGTGCTCAGTACTGTGTACTGGTAGTTGCATTGGCAACGATAACAGCATTGGACTGGCTGCATGAAACTGTTGATCGCTAGGCCCTGGCAGCGAATCCGAGCCACGTACCTCTGATGGGTTGAGTCGTTCGTCAATTGGCCGATGACGACTTTTCGAGCAGACAGGTTCTGCTCGAATAGTTGATCCTTAGTTAGGTCTGTCGTGTCGCCAAGCAGTCGTTGTTCATGTTCTTTCTGCGCGTCATTGGCCGCCTTCACCTTCGCAACGAAGTCGCTACCAAGACCTTGCTCTCTGACAGCCTTGTAAAACTTGTCAGCCCAAGGAAACCAGACCGTTGTTCCTCCTGTAAGCGGCGTGGTGCCTCCAACAATCCACTTTGTGATTGGCTGCGCGGGATTTGGCCGGATGTACTCGTGCGTGCAAATGAAGAACATCGCAGGCTCGGCAGCATGGGGATCGTTGTACTTGCGCGCGAAGTCGGTAGTCCAGTGACGTGTCTCGGTAGGTGCGCCGCCGTCAGGTTCTTGCTTTATGAAACGCCCCAAGTGGATGTTGAGAGCGCGCTGAACGTCGTTTCCGGTCTTCCAGTTGGCCATTATTGTCCAGCTGATTGGAGACGGAGGACCTCCGAACTCATGATTGAGAGCGAGTTCGATCAACAACTCCTGATTTGAACGGGTCGGCATGCCTCTCCTCTTGGATAAAACATCCATTCGGTCCAAACGCCAACCCGACTTCTTCTCCGGCTGTTTGAGCAGTCTGTGATGACGATCGATTTCAAAGTAGGCGGCATCACACGTCCTGAGGGCTGATCTTATCGCGTCTCCCCAAGTGAACGCTTCGTCACCTCCATCATTCTCGAAGTAATCGAAGTATGCGCCCTGGTTGGCCATGATCTTTTCCTGTCGATCTTTGCGGAAGTCCTCGTCCTTTGAGAACTTGTCGGTTGGCTTCTTCTGTTTCTCCTCATCGGGTGGTAGGGGGCTCTCAACTGGGGATTCATCGTCTCGGGCTTGTTGCGGCATTTGCCAACATGCCTTTCTAAACTTCTGCAATAAAGTTAGCCTTTAGCCGCACCAAACCGTTGAGTAACAGTCATAGAGAGGTGTTTAGTAACATATCTTATCCAAGAGATCAGGATCAACTTTGATGATGTGTTTTCGAATCTCTTCCAGAGGTTCGTAGCAAACCAAATGGAGCTGCACCAGATTAGACATCAGAAACTGCTTTGCTACTAATGTCTCCTTGTCAGGCCAGTACTCTGGCTTCATCTGCGATGTAGTCCATCTGACTTGGTCTGCGATGGCGGCAGCGGCTTGGATGGTTTTCTTATGCCGATCCTCCAGCTTGTGTCCGCGGACGTTGCGATCGAGCTCTTGTGCAAATCCCCACCCAGTCATATCGGCGTAGTCCGTAGGACGTCGGCCTGGAGATTTGATTGGTAAATTTGGATCAGTCATGGCTTAAGCTGTCAAGGAAGGCAGAAGTTTCGAATGTACTGGAAGGACTGATACCTGCCCAGGTGGAATCGTAGTGATGAGAGAAGCTATCTGTTCGTTCCTATACCTATAAGTACTTGAGATCGTGCTTGCTCCCAAAGGTCATGTAGCCATCTGTATGTCATTGGCAATAGTCACTAAGTACGCAGACGGATCGTTTGGTGGATACGGTAGCTTTCTAGCAAACTACCAAAGAAAACCTGAATTCGCGATGGGGAAGAGGTTTGAACAATCGTTGCACTGCTCGATGATTCTCGAATACCCCTTACCTTCCAGCAAAGCCGCAAGACAACAGCGCGGAGGTCTTCACCGAGATCCTGCTTATCAAGCCGTCTCCGAATCTGTCTACGTATCCCTCAAACGTACTCACGTTTCTCCGTATCTTGCAAGATTTCTCGCATCGTAAGAAGCTACACGAAGGACAATACGGAGGTTTTGGCAGCGGAGTGTAGAAGCAACCTTCAGCAGCTCTACTGCTGCATACTGTGAAACAAGGGTGTTGAGGAAATACACCTGCATTGCGATTATGTACTGTGTCACTCAACCGCATTGTGCCTGCATTTCGGCACCACGCCAACCAAGGAAAAAACTGAACACCCTGGAGTCTACATTGCTGTTGGATCACCTACTTGGTAGATTTTTGTCTTAATGTAGTCCTCAGGCCTGTTCAGGTTTTTCCTTGTATGAGGCGGCACCAGCAACGTTCACCGAAGCAAATCCGTCAGCAGCTCAACCACCGTGTGCCTGAAAGTGTTAAAGTCGGTCCTCTCAATCACCTCGACACATCAACAACCGCACACACAGCCACACATAACACACGCATCCAATAAAGTTAAAAAAGATATATCATTCGCGCAAAAGAACCCCAGCATTAAATACCCAACATCATCATGCGTCATACGCGCCCACCGAATCCTCCCCAACGAAGAGTAAGTAAGTAAGTAATTCCGAAGCAAACAACCCCTCCCCTCCCTTTCCATCCCACGCAGAAGTTCCAGCAACTAGACCAGAAGACAGAAAGAAGAAGAAGGACACAGCTTTGCTCCTAACAACTTTACAAACATTGGGAGTTCCCCATCATCATCATCATCATCTGCGGCGCTTACTTTCCTCCCGTTGTCGTCTTTCTCGTGCGCGCGTGTGTCGTTTCATGTGTCTAATACCAAATTTTCGCTCGCTGTGCTGACAAAAGATGCTAAAGTTCATGCTTCAATTCCTTCTTCAATCGTGCCGTGGCCGTGGCCGTTCATTCCGTTGCCGTTCATGCCCATGCCGCCGGTGAGAGCCTGCATGGCGTCGCCGTTGCTCTGGCCGTTGGGCATGTCGTCGTCGAACTCGAGCTTCTCTTGCTGCGCAATGGCTTGTTGCGAGACAATCTCTGCGAGGCGCTTGAGGCGGGGGGTTTGCAGCCCTGTCGATTGTATTAGACGTGTGCCGATGGTGCGGTAGATGGTTGAAAGAAAATACTTACAGGAAGGCGTGTATGTCTCGAGTGCTGTTATCACTCTTGGCTCCGCGATTTCGTACGGGCCACTATCCTCCATGTCGACTGCGGTGAGGAGAAGAACGTCGCTCTTCTCCGTCACACGCGACGCGACGGCCTTCATGATCTCGCCGTTGATGGGCTGCTCGTAGTCGGCTACCAGGTACTGGTTCAGCAGCTTTTGGATCTGGTTCGGACTCAGCATCCAGCAGATGTCCTGAATAATCTCAATGTCGTTCAAAGTAGCCTTCTTCAGCTGGAGCAACTTGGTTGCTTGCATCAGATGCTCGAGTTGCAGTGTGCCCTCTGGCATGTCATGCGACTTGCACCACTCTTCGATACGGGTGATGTTGTAGTTGATCTGCAGACCTCGCTTCCATGAAAGGAAATTGCGGCGCATGAGCAAGTCGTTGAAGGCAGTGACACCCACTAACCTCAGCAACTCGGTAACACACTGTGTGATGATGGAGTCTTCCAAGTAATAAGCCTTCATGGCCTTGTAGACGCTGTTGAGTAAGGTGAGTAGGTTGTCCATGCTGTAGGCAGGGGTGTTGCTGCCCTGGAGGAGCTTTCCAAGGAAACGGTTGCTCTCGTTGGTAACGAAGCCGGGCAGTGATTGCGATTCGATGATAGCAGGGATGATCATCTTGTGCAGCTTCTTCTTGAGCACCTTCATCCAGGTGTGGTAGATGTTGAACTCGAGACTCTCAAGATCGTGCTTGACGATCTCCAGCAGTCTGTCGTACTCGTAGTTGTCGGTCTTCTGTTGCTCGTACCAATCTTCAGCGAGGAAGACGAACGAAAGCATTTCGTGGACGTTCGACAACCAGAACGCGCCTGGGTTGATCGCGTCTTCAGCATCGTGCTGCATGACCTCTTGTTGGATCGACTGCATAACGTTCGCGAGGAAGCGCTCTGATTCCTTGACGAAACCGTTGTTCCACATTTCGGAGGTGACAAGGTTGATGAGGTAAGCTGGGAAGAGAACCTCCTTATCGGTAGGTGGGGGTGTCGTGGTGGGCGATGGGATCTTCAGGTTCTTGATCAGACCAAGAGTGACCTCATCGTTCAGCATGTCCTCCTCGGCAAGGATATTCTCAAGCTCAAGCTCGACGTTATCGAGCTGAGCAAACGTTGAGCCGGAGAGGTTTTGTCTGTGAATGGTGGAACCAGGAGCCATGGAGACAGGTCGCGGGTTGTATTGTTCGCTGAATCGGTTGATGTCGCGGGTGTCTGGTCCAGCACTGCGCCTCTTTGGCTTCTTCGACGAGACAAGCTTGATCAAGCTGCTGGGGGCTATGGCCGTGGAGTGACCGTTTGTCAGCTCACCAGGCATTGGACCAGATCGCTTCATCAGTTCAACCTGCTCTTGCAGCTCGGCGAGTTGCTGGCGGAGCGACATCTTTTCGGTCTCAGTGACGTTGCTCCTCCTCTTGGATTGCTCCAAGTCGTCTGTGGTCCTCTTAAGCGACGCACGAAGTTCCTTCTCCTCTTCTTGCAGATGGCGCATCTTTGCAGTGCTCTCCTCGTAGCTTGTCTGCAGCTTCTTGTACTCGTCTTCCATCTGGCTGAGCTTGGCAGCGGTGATACCAGCCTGGTTGGCCTCGGCTTGTAGTTCCTTCTGGCGGTTCTCGAGTGTACGGCTGCGCTCCTTGTACGATTTGATCTGGCTCTCGTAGTTCTCCACTTGAGACTTGAGCGACTTGTTCTGCTCCCTCATCGTACCCAGATTCTGGGTAAGCTCGACAACCTTGTTTTCGAGCTTGTAAGAGATGTTCTTGAGATCGCGAGATTCGGCGCGGAGGACCTTGTATTCCCTGCGGGCCTTCCTTCCCCTCCAGAGCTTCTGGACAGTGATGATGTCGTTGATCTCCTTCTTGTAGGCGCGGATGTATCTTTGTTTGCGCCAGTTGCGTTGGATCATGCGAGCAGCATCTCCAAGCCTCTTGTCCAGGATGTTCTTACGGAGCAAGAATCCCTTTGCGGCTGCCTCAAACTTGATTAGCGAGTTTCGGACAACAAGGAAGCGCTTGCGGTCCTTGCTACCACGCCAGACTCTCTGGATGGTGGTTGCAGCCTTGACCTGCCTAGCCTCCTCGGCTCGTTCCCTGGTCATGTAGCCCCTAGCCAATGATTGCACGTGGATGACAGCCTCGCGCATCTCGAGGTAGATACGGCGGTAGTATTTGGCTCGGAGGTTCTTCTGAATCATGACGGCGGCATCGTTGAGTCTGGCTGTACGCAAGTTCTCGAGGAACGCAAGCATACCAGCGCGGAAGAAGATCTTTGTCAAACCCATCTGGTACTTGTCGGTGCCATCGTTCTTGCCGGCACCTAGCGCCTTCTTCAAGATTGCCGTGGCCATGTTTCGGATTTCGGGCGTCCAGTCAGCGGATCTGACCAACATGTAGTAACGCAGGGCGAATTCCTCATAAGTCCATCGTGTGGGGTAACCGGCGCAACTGATCCTGACAGTTTCGAGAACACCACAAGCGCGCAATTGGCTGAGAACCATGGGTCCATCAAATTGCCAAGCAGCCTTGGCCTCGTTGGGCTTGATACATCGGATATAGTGGACGTCGGTTGAGTTGATGGTCTGCATGAGTTCGATGAGAGACGATTTGAAGATACCACCGAGTGTTGGCTTGCGGTTGGTCGCCATCCTTCGGCCAGCCGACATGGCAGTACCCGGCTTGGACGAAGCGCTAGTAGCATTCTCCTTCTCTCGGATCGACGCAGCAACGTCCAAGACTTGGGTCAAGAACTTATTGCTTGCAGCCTTGAGGACCTCCATGTGTTCATCCGGCACAGTATCTCTGTTCTTCTCGATGAAGCCATCAGATTCATACGTGACATCGATGGCGTAATGGCAGACGGTGAAGGACGACTTGCCGAACCGGGGCTTCTTGTAGAATTTGTGCTTGTCTCCGGAGTAGTTGTGGTGTAGCTTAGTAACGAATTGCTCATCCGAACCCATGGGCAAGCGCGACTCTTCGTCTAGTAAAGACAAGATACCTAGCTTGCCTTCAATAAGATCGATACAAGGCTGGTTGTCGGCGAAGTCGATGAAAGTCCAGTCGATTTGCTCGCGCATGTATTCCTCCTGCTCCAGCTTGAAGACGTGTGCGTTGAACTCTTGTTGCAATTTTTCATTAGCGTAGTTGATACAGAACTGCTCGAAAGAGTTCTTTGCGAAGTGCTCGAAACCGTAGATATCAAGGACACCAATGAAGGTGTGGGCCTGCGCAATAACCTCTTCGGTGGCCAGACTCTCGTTTGTGCGCTCGACCAGCCAGTCGAACAAGCTCGAATAGATAAACTTGGCAACGGAGTCTCGGACTACGATGGCCTGCTGCTGCGTCAAGTTGGAGACAATCTTCTCTCCTCTGGTAATGAGCTGCTTCTTTACGATCCACTTTGCGAAAGTGTTGGCGTCAATTCCTAGCAGCGAACAAGCCTTGACGAGAGAAGGCTCAGCTGGGTCAAGATTTGAGTCTGTCCGAGTTGCTGTGATCTTGATGTCTCCCATGTGCAACAGCGCCGCGAGCAGGCGCCAGATGCCAGCTTGGGTTTCTGGTGGCACACCGATCTTGGTCAAGGATTGTCTTGTGGCCTTGAACTCAGCCACGTCGTCCATACCCTCAATCACAGGCGCACTGCCCTGGTTGAGGTAGCTGAACTCCTCGACCGACTTCAGGGAGAGCTCTTCGCGCTCCTCGTCCGACGCACCGGCTACCAGCTGGTAGAAGACGTGGTAATTCCGCTCCTTAAGCGGCTGAAACACCAGTCTCGACCGTTCCAGCAGATATGTCCTGATCTTCGCACCAATAATATCCGTCTGCTTGTTGAACATGATCTCAATGTATTTACCGAAACGCGAGGAGTTGTCGTTACGGGTGGTTTTGGCGTTACCGAAGGCTTCCATGATGGGGTTGGTAGCCAGAATCTGCTCTTCGGTCTCGCTCATCGAGTCGGACTTGCCTCTCCGCTTGCCTGGGTTGTCCGGGGACTCTCGTGTGGCAAAGTATCGCATGATGTATTTGGCGCTGACCGTCTTTCCGGCTCCGGACTCTCCAGAGACGACAATGGTCTGGTTCTTCTGGTCTCGCAACATGTCGCTGGAGAAGATTAGTCACTGCCATGACGGGTGGTTGGGAGATGGGCGCGGGGAACTCACGCGAAGGCTTCTTCAGCAATGGCAAACAAATGCGGAGCGCCATAGGATCTCTGCTTGCCAGCGTAGACCTGTACCATGCCGGGTACGTATAGGGAGTCGACTCGCGCAAAGGGATTTGTCGCGATCAGGACGATACCCGAATATGTGTAGATCTCCTTCTGCAGATAACGCAGCTTGATGGCCTGGAGCACTGCACGACCGTCAGTATGCCATGTCTTCTGTGTGGGGTCGGGCGACTGTACCAGCCGGCTCGTTCAAATGTGACAGGTTCGTAAGGTCATCGCTGGCCTCGAGCATGGCCGGGTTCATCAGCGGAGGGAGGTTGGGGTCATTGCCGGTCTGGATGGCCAGAATCGTCGTCTCGACGGATTTGGTCTGCGCAGTGAAGCATCGTCAGTTGCCGTGTCCTGCATCAATATCATGCCCGTGGGTGTGCGTACCTCGCCATTCTCCAGCGTGAACACCAGCTTCACCTTGTCTCCCACGATCTGCTTGTCCGTCACCTCGGAGGCGACCCAGCCCTCAGTGGTATCAGGCTGCCATGCCCGGGTGCCGAGGTCGTAGATGTGAGCCATGGTGGGTGGTTGTGTATGGGTTGTCCCCCTCCAAATGGCGGTGCGGGTTCAGGGTCCAGAGGCGGCTCCCTGGTGGTGGGATATGCTCAGCTCGCTAAGTCGGTGCGGTCGCTGGCTGCGTGGGTGCGGTCGTGGACGTCGTCAGCGTGGGATGTCGCTGCAGTCACAGGGCTCGATGCATCCCTGGAGGAGAGAAGGGCAATCGTGTGGGCGAAGTTATGCGAACTGCTGCCCGCCGTGTTGTCGACTTTCTCTGGTCACGCTAATCGCCTCTCACCGCCAACATCCCGCCAACCCGCACGGGCCAGCTCCAGGGGGCCGAGCCAACCACCACCGCTCTGCCACCTGGAACCGCGCAGACAGGCGTCTCACCATATGCACCTCCTCACTTCTGCATCCCAAATAGCCTCAGCAGCTTGCATCCGATCTGCAGCCTCACTCGGCGTACCTGGAGCAGCCTGTGACGCTGTCCGGCCTTCCAACGTGCTGCGTACCACACCCAGATGCGGGCCAGCATTCTTACTCGCACTGTCCCATTCCCCACCTGTCATCTAAAGCGACAGTCCTTCCCCAGAGTTTATGCAGGTAAACTCCCTGGATGTTTCGCTTCTCGGATCTCTTTCTTCGCGCATCCGTTCTTGCTGAACCCGGCCAACTGAAACATGCCGCCTCAGCATGATACGTGGGCGTCACGACTTCATTGTACTTCAAAGACCAGGAATTTGGGGCTTCAGTAATCATCGAATCGACTAACTGCAAAGGGGCTGCATGGCCATGGCTCGGTCATACCCACCATAGCGTGAGTGACTCCTTGGATATCTCCACATCTGCCCAGGTGGCTGTCGTCGTTCTCCACGAGCTCGCGACTCGCTACCAGTCAAAGTGTCTTCGTGTAACCATCACGCTGGTAAATTTCACCAAGTGACTAGATGAACATCGCCAAACATGTTCAATCATATCCCGCTAATCACAACTTACACGCACATGAAATGTTCATAACGTACTTGACCCGAAATATCACATTGTATACCGAGACCAACACGTCACATGAACGATCACGTGCGATAGCGCTTATCGCCCGCCCGCGCCATCTGGACTGGCAGTCGCGGCTGCCTACAAACCAAACAATTTTTCCTCTCCGTCGTACCGGCACGACATAGCATCCCAGACGTACTCACCGTAGATTTACGATGGGTTTGCCAACGTGGGAGATGTTGTGTTCCTTCAGGGTACGTTTTGCCTGTTAGGCACAATTGCAACCCAGGAACAGCAACCTTTTTTGTCACCTGACTGTTCATTGGATCAGCATCTTCCCGGGAAGGTACCACCTACCAGGACTATCGATTGGTACTACCCTGATGTCATTCTTCCTACACTGTCTTTCTCTTTCCTCCGCACCTACTTGGCTCTACAGCACTACCGCCTAGCACATGACATCGACCTCAGGTTGAGTCGCTACCGAAGAGGTGGTACCAGAATCAAAAAAGTCGGCTCAGTCAACACTTGGAAAGTGCGTGATTGTTTATCTTAACTACTATGAGCAGCATGGACAAAACGGTCGATGAGCGGAAGCAATCCTACCCGGAAGCAAGCCATACGTGCGATCGATGCTTACTTGTGTGGCCAAAGGTACCTTATCAAGAAGATGGTACAGATATCTTTAGAATCGAAGAAAACGCGGAAGAGCTATTGACCTCGGCTTGTGAGGTATGCCAAGTACTCGGTATGGCGCTGAGTGCACATCAAGAGGAGGATCCCAGTCTGAAGAGACCATTGTTGCGGTGGGAACGTTGGTTAGGCTACTCAGGCGTGGCCGCCTTCTATGACTCTGAAGGCACCAGAGAGAGGAAACATGGCCAAGCCGGAGTGGTCAAGATATGGTATCCTGATCCATCCATTGCTGATGATTGGAAGCGCGCGGAAACGAAGGATCGACGCGTTGACTTCGATGCAATCAGGGGCTGGCTCGAGGAGTGTGGCAAGTCTCATAATCGTTGCAAATTCAGCATACAAGGGGCACCCTGGGGTCTGAAAGTCATTGATTGCATGGAGAGGACTATCATTGCTGCGCGAGCAGGATGCCGATACGTGGCGTTGTCGTACGTGTGGGGTGGATTTATCTTCAAGGCAGACATGAAGTCCGGAGTTCTGCCTTCTGAGCTCCCTCGTACCATTGAGGACAGCATGCAAGCTACATTGCTTCTCGGATATCGGTATCTCTGGGTTGAGTGAGTTCTTTCGCAATAGTTTGATCGGAAATTGGGCTAACGTGTTATTGTACGTACAGCGCCTTTGTAAGTATACAGATTATACTTGGACAGCGCTAACCGAGAGATCAGTGCATACAACAGGATGACGCAGTCGACAAGCTTTTTCAGATTCGACAGATGGATTTGATATACACCGCAGCAGAGCTCACTCTAATCGCATCAGCCGGCCATGATCCCTCATCGGGTATACCGGGCGTAGGAAGCTCACGAAGAGTGAGATATCGAGACGCTACTGCTGGTGACATACGCGTGTCCTATGTCCCGCCCACAGTTCACAGGATCATCACCAGATCTCGTTGGTTTACACGAGGATGGACATTTCAGGAAGGCTACCTTCCGCGCAGGCGACTATACTTCACGGAGAGTGCAGTTCTGTTCATATGCAATCATGTGCAGGAATACGAAGGCTTTCAGCGTTGCGTATCCGAATCCGAAGTCTATCTATTGGAGGGTACACTGAATCCACGCGCATTAGGAGGCAGCAGCGACGGATTTAATGAGCCCGGCGAGATCATGCAATTACTTCAGCAATATTCAGCTCGCGGACTCAGTCACGACAGTGATGCCATGAACGCCATTCTGGGCGTTCTGAACTACCATAACAGAAAGAATTCTTCCGTCCATACGTTGTGGGGACTACCATACCGACCACCGCCAATCGGGCATGGCTACATCTGTATAAACTGGAAGCACTACAGAACAGCCATGAGACGACCGGAATATCCCAGCTGGACGCCACTTGGCTGGGCCGGTAGTGTCAAATTTGCAGATGTTCTCCACCAACTTGATCTGTCAGTAAAGGATGCTGACAACCTAAGTAATCCGCTTCTGAATTGGTCTGAGGGTGAGCATCGCGTAACGGACTTTCAGCATATACAAATCACCGTCAAAGTCCTCCCGTTTCCGGTGGTTAACATAACGCGTTCAAAACTCGTTCAGACGTGGGATTGGGGTCCTTCCGAGCGCGAAAGATCATTCCTGGTACTTGCTATCGGCACCGCCTTGGGAAATGGCGGTGACATCAAACTTTACATGCACATACACTGGGACGTCGAACTCGGTGAGGACTACGACAGCAATCAGATAACATGTGCGGTCACTCACGACCAGAATCTCAGATACCTGTCGATAATGGTACTGCGAGACCTCGGAACTCACTACGAACGTCTAGGAATCGCGTTGGCCAATCCTGAGCCCGGGGACACGGGCATCATCCAGGCGGTAGGATTAGACGAGCTGATCGCCCCTACTACCGGAATTCAGACCTTGAGTGCTGGTGACACCCCAAACGTCTACTGGCGAGAATTGAAGGGTACCTTTGAAGAAGAATTGGCTTGGGTACGTGATATAGAACCGGTGACTATCACCTTGGGCTAAATCCACTTTGGAGGGCACAGCCCACGTACTATCACGGCGATTTCGGCCTGCAACGTATCACAGTCTCTGGGCCCCGTCAGCAACAGCCCACAGGCTTCGAGCTACCGAATTTCATCACACCAGGCACCACGACTACTCGACTGAGATCACGTCGCATGCTATCGTCGCTGTAGATGGAGGCGATACTATCCGCTGAGTTCGCGACTACAACGGCAGCACACTCACGAATTTCTCCGATCAAGAAAGCCTCTTCTCGTGGCAACGTCCCACGAACCGACAAAGAAGAGCCATAACGATCTTGCCTACGGCAGAAGACTTCATCGACGCCATTCCTCACACCAACCTCCCCATCAAACCATTCCTACCGGCTTTGCAGGTCGACTTTACGACCACAATTCAAGCGCACATGCCAGACAGACGGCACCACAAGTACCGGTATGGACTGAGTCGCAACCTTATCAACGTGATCATCTAAGAAGATATAAGATAGATCAGTCCGACTGGAGTAGAGAAGAACACCAAGCAGAGAATGTCGCAGCAAGCTCCCCTGAAGAGATGATTGAGACAAGTACGGGTGTTCAGCGCGATGAAAGTGTTGAGAAGTCCCCCATCAAGATCGCAACAGGCGAGGAAAGGGTTGGGTCAGCTTTAGGTATGGCTTCAAACCATGAACGAAAGACTGCGTGTGCGCTGTAGCTCATGGTGCTCTCAAAACATTCATAGCAGACATTTCCACAATGTACTTCTTGTGTCAATTCATCTCTTGTCTCATTCATTTCAGCAGTAATAATAACCCAGTGTTGAACTCTACTTTTCCAGCCAATGCATGCACACCCCCAAATCATACGCCGTGCGAAAGTCTTCTACCCATACTTTTAAGGTCCCTAATATGCGGCAGCGAACCCAACATATCATCCCTCGTATCATTCTTGTGTTGTTCAACGAGGTCAGTCTCCTCTGTCTGCTCCGCCGGCTCAACACGCTCTTCTGCGCGACCGTGAAAGGGGCTGTCCGCCTAGTACAGGACCCTGGTACGGATACACGCTGCGTTATGTTAGCTCTGCACTCCCCCAACAAGCAGGGAAATGTAGGGAGTGTAGGGGATAGACGTACAAGAAAGCTCCTCCAAACTCGTGAACAAATCCCTAATCTCCCCCTCCTTAACCTCACTGATATCCGCCATGAGATACGCAACCTCGCCTCTCGAATCCGACATCTGCTTCTCGATATTGTGGTGAAGCAAGATACCGTTGACTTGTCTCAGCACACCAGGCACGTTCTTATGGATGTAAATAACACGCATGCAGTCGGGCTGATCGAGCGTCAAGCTACGCAGATTGACTTCAGGCAGGTTGACGGCGCCGAGCGTGGTGCCCTCGTTGACGTAGCGGACGAGTGCTGTGCTGACTTCGACGCCGATGGCGGATTGCGCTTCTTCTGTGCTGCCGCCGATGTGCGGGGTTAGAATGATGTTCTTTAGGCCGACGAGGTCCTTGGTCCACGCGTTCAGGTCGGAGCTGAAGTAGTCGCCGTTGCCGGCGGGTTCGTTGGGGAAGACGTCGATGGCGGCGCCGGCGAGTTTGCCAGAGCGGCTGGCTTCGATCATGGCGGGGATGTCGACGACGGTGCCGCGCGCGTTGTTGATGAGGTAGCTGCCGTCCTTCATCTTTGCGAATTGCTCGGCGCCGATCAGGTTCTTGGTCTCAGAGGTCGCGGGGACGTGGAGGGAGACGAAGTCGGCTTGGGCGAGGAGGTCGTCCAAGGATGCTACTTGTCGCGCGGTTCCCAGACCCATGGTGGTCAGGACGTCGTAGTAGATGACGCTCATGCCCATGGATTCGGCCAGCACACTCAGCTGGCTACCAATGTGTCCGTATCCGACTATGCCCAGCGTCTTGCCGCGGATCTCCCAGCAGCCCTTGCTGACCTTGTTCCATGTGCCATTGTGTAGTTCCATGGACCGGTCGGCGAGCTGGCGGGCGAGGGCGATGATCTCTGAGATGACGAGTTCGGCGACGGAGCGGGAATTGCTGAAGGGCGAGTTGAAGACGGCGATACCCTGGCTGGCGGCGGTCTGGAGGTCGACCTGGTTGGTTCCGATACAGAAGCAGCCGATGACGATCAGGTTCTTTGCCTCCTCGAGCACCTTCTTGGTGAGCTTCGTCTTTGAGCGAATGCCAATGACGTGCACATCGCGGATCTTCTCAATCAGCTGGTCTTCTGCCAGACTGGCCTTGATGGCCTCGACCTGGTAGCCCTGACCGCGGAGGATATCGACACCAGCCTCGTTGACATTTTCGAGCAGCAGGACCTTGATGTCCTTGGTATCGAACGGTTTCAGTTGCTTGGCGAGTTGTTGCGCGTGCGCGCTGTTGTTGGCCTGGTTGCTGAAGCTGCCAGTCGGCGGTTGGCGGAATGTGGAGGGCGGGCTGTGGAAGGAGAGGTTCGGGCTGGTGCTGAGGTTGAGGCTGTTGGACACTTGGCGTGCGAGTTGGCTGATGCCGCTGCCGGCAATGTCCTGTGCGGGAGTCATGGTGGGTGCGCGGAGGTTGTTGCGGAGGTGGCTCGGAGGAGGGATGCGACAACTCAATCTGGCTGTATGATCCGGAATGTTGCTGGAGGAATCTAGACTATTAATACGCAGTGACTCTTGACTACAGCTACCAAACTGCAAAATGCTCAACGAATCACAGGGTAATCGCAAGGCAGGTTTTAGGATGCTGCGGCAAAGTATGACTGGCGGCTGCAATAGACAGCAACAACACACGCACAGGAGATGCTCCCCACTTTTTGCGAGTACTTGATGACTGGTTGCGTCTAATTTTGCCTACAGTGACACCTACAATTGACTCAATCGATGTCGTCTGACGCGACGCCTCTCAAAAATTTCTCATAACGCCGATGATGCCATCCCGCTCTGGCCCTGGACCCCACCAAGCATACCTAGCTTACCAGCCTCCGCTTTCGGAAGTCTAACGTGCTGGCCGTAACAAAGTAATCAGCAGCGGCCGATTCACCATCACACATGCATAATTAAGAGTTGTACGACATGCAAATGCCGTTGTATTCATTATCTATTGGCTTGAGTGCACCTAAGCTGCTCAACCCTCCCAAAAATGTATTCTTCGTCACCCCGAGCAGACCTCACCCGAGGCGCTTTCTAAGTGTAGTCACCATCTACAACTTCTGCTCGTTCATGGGCCACTGGTATCCTAGAATCGAGTTAGTCTTTGGGTTCAATGTCCTGCAGAGGTGAGGTCCTACCTGCTGCGTCGCTGAACTTGTATCCGTAAGAAGAAGTGAAGTCATCCAATACGGCAGGGCCGCGGGAGCCTGATAATAGTTAGCCAGTATTCGCTTGTGTTCTCGGCCTACTACGAACCATATGGGTACTCCATAGGAATGATCTCCTTGTTGTCATCAAGGTAGTGGAGAAGAGGTGTGAAGATCCTCCAGCTAGCGTCGAGCTCGTCGTCACGAACGAAGTTGGAGTGGTCGCCCTTCAGCGCATCGAGAATGAGCGACTCGTATGCCTCGGGGATCTTCAGGTCGGAGAATCGCCGTCTGTAGGTAAGGTCGAGTTCTGTGACGACAGTCTGCATGCTGAGACCGGGCAGCTTGGAGTTCATCTTAATGTAAACACTCTCGTTGGGCTGCACACGGATAACGAGCTCGTTCCGCGGGATATCCTTGAAGATGCCAGAGGTGACATCCTTGAACTGGATGCGGACCTCCGTCTTCTGCTCGTTCAGGGCCTTTCCTGCCTTCAGGATGAAGGGCACGCCGTCCCATCGCTCGTTCTTGATGTAGGCAACCATGGACGCGAAAGTGGGGCATCGCGAGTCCTTGGGGACTGTGTCGTCCTCCTTGTAGCCTGGCTTTTGACCGTCCAGTGACTTTCCGTACTGTCCGATTATAACGTTCTTGGGCTCGATCGAGGCCATACCACGGAGGACGCGGACCTTTTCGTCGCGGATGTCTTCGGCGGAGAAGGAGATGGGGCGCTCCATAGCGAGGAGGGTAAGAACTTGGAGCAAATCTGCAATCGTTAGTCAATCCTCATTCCAACCACCAGTCTTCGCTTACGGTTCTGCATAACATCACGGATGATGCCAAACTCGTCAAAGTAACCTCCACGGCCTTCGGTTCCGAAAGGCTCCTTGAAGGTAATCTGAACGTTGTCGATATGGTTCCTGTTCCAGGTTGCGCCGAAGAACTCGTTACCGAATCGGAGAATGAGGATGTTCTTGACCATCTCCTTACCCAGGTAGTGGTCAATTCGGTAAAGCTCATCTTCGGTCCAGTCGGGAGCCAACGCCTTCTGCAGCTCTCTTGAACTTGGGAGGTCCTTGCCGAATGGCTTCTCGACCTGTGCGACAGCGGTTAGCTGCATGTATCCGGGAAATTGCACAAGAGCGACTTACGATGACGCGAGAAATGCCGTTCTTGGGGTAGCAGTTGCGCTTCAGGTGCTGAGAGACTGTGATGAAGACGCTAGGAGGGAGAGCCATGTAGAATATCCTGTTGTTCTCCTTGCGGCCCTTCTCGATCTCCTGCATGTGCTTCTCAAGTCCGACGAAGGATTCGTCCTGGTCGTACTGGCCGGAGACGTACGAACAGAACTCGCAGAATTCGTCCAACTGCTTCTCCAGTTCTTTTGTGGGGGTCTTGATGTACGACTTGACGCGCTTGAGGTACTCCTCGCGGTCCATCTTTGTGCGTGCATATCCGACGATGTGGATGTTCTTTGGGAGGAAGTTGTTTCGGTGCTGTGCTGGTGGTCAGAGAATGCGCATGTCGATCTGTATCGTGCAACCTACGAGGCCGAAGAGGGCTGGGAACTGGTATGATGTTAGTCTGATGTTTGCTCGCATGCTTGCTTCTTTACGTACGGTCTTTTTCTTCGCTAGGTCACCGGAGGCGCCCAAAACAACGATGATGGTGTTGTCCTTGAGCTCCATGTTTCTATCGCGAGATCTGGTTAGCTGGGGTGCTCAAAATGCTAAAAGGCTCGATCGGTTTCGCGCATCGACCAACCCCTCCGCCGAAGAGCGCGAGGCGCTTGAGCAGAAAACAACGGCCGGATAAATTGATGACATATTCAGACGGCTCGTAAAAGGCTGTATAAGATCGATCAGGGGCGGTGAGGGCGACCTACCCGGCATTGACCTCCTCATGCTTGGGCTGGATAACTGTGTCCGCCATTGTGTTGATGTGTGATGTAAACGCTTTGGGGGAGGAGCGGGCGCAAGGTTACAGCTCAATTAAGGGCTGCAGTGGGTGAGGGCAATAGGGTAACACAAGAGATCTCGAAGTAAGGGCGGAAGCTACGGATAGGACGTGGATGTGTGAGGAAAAGTCCTATGTAGTGGGGTTATCGGAGCTGCTCTAGCGGTTTCGCGTGGTGGTGACGTTGGTTAGCTTTAATTTGCCGCTCGAACGCCGGTGATAGGGTCTCAGACAAATGCTTCACAGAAACACACGGCGCGGACTGACGTCTTTAAAAAGGCATCGATAAACAACTAGGTCATTCCTCAAGCATCACTAAGCGGCCGCACGTCTTGCAAAGCTTCTCCGGTACCAGTCAAAACCCTTGAAGCCCGCCGGAGGAGACCTTGCTAAAGCCGTACCTAGGGATTCGCGGACAACCCCACCATCGCCATGCATTGCGCGTGGAACGGCTTCGTCCACGCTCGGCTGGGAAGGGATAGACTTTGAGGCTCTTAAACTTTGTTTCTCATTCTATAAGTGTGTCCCAAGACTGTGGTCGCGTCTCACAACCGTCACAGCGCGCGAGGCACGCCCAGCTCGTGGACGGCTACCCCGCTGCGAGGTTGCCCGAGTCCGGACGATGTGTAAATTCTATTAGAGTGTACACAAGCATTGGCCGTCTCAGTGTCGCGGGCTGGTACTTGGGTCTGTCAAATCCTCCGGCCCCTCTTTGAGTATACCGAGCGGCCAGCACTGGTAGGTAAGCTAGCAGCCTGGTGGGGCGCGTCGCAATGGAAGACTTGCAGCCATGTTGGCGTGCTGGCTTCCCAACAATGGACTGTACGTGACGTGTGAGCGCGGGAGACGTGATGGCGACGTGAGAATTTTGCCGTTGGCTATTTGGGTTCTCCCAGGCCGTGACATGATGAGTGAACCACACCTGGCCTGGCCGGACCGATGACGCATGGTCCTCAGGGCGACGTGCGACACGCGAAGGCTGGTCAGTCAGACGATGGAACATGCCCAGACGGATTGCTAGACTGATAGTGAACCGCCATGCTTACACATCCGCTGCATGAGAAAGCCCGAACGAGCAAGAGGGGGCTGGGACGAGCATAAGCGTTGCCGCGGAACGTCGGGAGGAGTTGTGCCTTCACCATGACCCTACATACTGTGACCATGTTGAAGACGTGAATTCGAGCGCATCTGTTCCAAAAGCATTACCAGTTGTCTGACTGCTTCTAGTATCAAGAAATGGTGATGCCAGTGAGGGAGTGCAGACACATCCATACTCAGACCTGCGTGCACCGCAGAGTCTTTGCTATCAGAACCTCAATATGCATTCATGACACCCAATTGACACCTCCAGGAGACTCATTAATCCCAAAACACATATTCCAAGATTGCAGTGTTGGTGTTCTTCGCGACTGCCTGCGGCGAGGCAACGGCAGCGTTACGCCACACAAGCTGTGGCTGGTGTGGCGCTAGTAAGCGAGAACGCCCCACTGGACATGAAGCAATTCGTCTTTCTCTTTGGCAACGACGACTTCTCTGTACTAACGACAGCATCAACCCCGACCCAGACGTCCCCTTCACCCCCCCCGAGGCCGCCCAAAAAATTCGCCATGTCTGCCGACAACAAGTCCCACCGCCTTTACGTCAAGGGCAAGCACATCAGCTACCAGCGCGGCAAGGTTTGTGCGCACCGAATTCGCGTATTGACGCTCCCCCTTCTGACGATGAACCGCAGAGGAACACCAACCCCGGAACCTCTCTGCTCAAGCTTGAGGGCGTCGACGATGTCAAGGCAGCTCAGTGGTGTACGTCTCCGCGCTCCGCGTGTCCCCCCCGACGCTCGAATTTTGATAGCTAACGTACCGACGACAGACGCTGGCAAGAGGGTAGCCTACGTCTACCGCGCACAACGGGCGATCCAAGGCTCCAAGATCCGTGTCATCTGGGTACGAATTCCCATCCTACCGCCCGTAATTCACCAAAAAGACAAAAAAGCTAACCCAAACAACAGGGCAAGGTCACCCGCCCCCACGGCAACTCCGGCGTCGTCCGCGCCAAGTTCAAGAACAACCTGCCTCCCAAGTCCTTCGGTGCCTCCGTCCGCGTCATGCTGTACCCTTCTTCGATATAAGCTTCTCCGACACACGCATTTTTTGGCGAGAACGGGAATGAAAGCGGTCGAAAAATAAGGCAATGGTAGTTGATGGATCACCTCAGGCGCAATATTATACCGGGCACGGAAGTCAGATTCGAGAACAATTCAGTTATCTCTGGGGAGACACACATGCACAGTCTTTCCCATACACAACGGCAACTTGTTCGGGCTGGGTGCGACGGTGTGAATGTTGATGTCCTGAAAGTCCATATAACAATGGCACTTTTCTTCAATCAAGATTCCTGACAAGATCAATCATACATGTTCAAAGTCATTGGGTGCATTGGCGTGATGTCGTGGAGATGGGGTTGTTGCGACAGCTCGGAACGTACAACGATGTGCTGCTAACTGTGTAGACTATTATCCGTAACGCTGCTACAAGCCCTACCCACCCGTCGCGCGATCGCTATACCATTCGTCAACAACACCCTCAGTCGCATGACTACAGACGATGACAAATAATACAAAACCGCATAAGGCCTATCGATACCTGACTAGCCAGGGTCTACAGGATCGAGCTCTCGAACACCACCTAGTCCGGGATGTCATGAGCACGCGACACGTCACGATAGCATAAGAAGAAGGCTTGAGTTTCATCGTATTGCACTACACCCTAGGTATCTACCATCATTCCATCATACCTTCGTAAGGCCAATTGACATGTAGCGAGTTGCCGCTCGAACACATGATGCTAACTATGACCTCTATATCCTACATGTAATCGCTATCCTCTTGCCGTGAACTTATGTACCCATGTCCTCCTTCTGCTGCCCGGGTTGTTAATCTATCGTTTCCATGGTGGTGGGTAGAACGACGAGTAGGGGCTCCGACCATCCCATCCTACTGGTGGCTGGCTCCATGGATCATCGCTCTGATCGGGATGCTGTTCTACGCTGCTGGACTGACCTCCTGGTTGGGTGTCTGGCAGTCCATGCAGAACGACCAACTCTCCTGGCTGTGCGTCTTGTAGAGCGTCGTACTGACCGGAGTAATCTCGTCCTGGTTGCGTGGCTGGCAGATCTTCGTCTTGATTAACGTGAACTCCTAGTTCCGTGGCTGGCGGCTCATCCTGACTAAGAGGCTCTCTCGGTTGCATGGCTGGTGAACCACCCTGACTAAGCCGCTCTCCTGGTTGGAAGTCTCTCAGTTCTCCATCTTCTTCCTCTTCTTCCTCACTGTCCTTGCACTCTCCTGTCATCCTCCAGTTCGGACCAGAAACGTTAGATCCAAACGATTCATCAACACGTTGTGGCTGGGCTGACGGCGGCGGCGATTGCTCAGAACCCATCACACCCTTTGCCGGTGGTGGAGGATCTGAGCGCGCAGGATCAACCCTGAAACTCACGTTGGCGAGATCCGAGATGGAAATATCGTTACGACGATGACCTCCAGACTCGGCACGGAGGGTAGCCAGGAAAGCTGGTCGAGCGAAAGGAGGACTGCTCTGCTTGGGCGCCGATTGGAACATGGGAAAGGACTGCGATACTGCCTGTGCATTGCTCATACCTCGCATCGACGCCATCGCATTCAAGCCGGCTGCAAACGCGCTCTTGTCTTTGAGCTTGGGTGCCGGCAAATCGTTCTGTTTCACCTTGTTACTAGCAACCGGCGTCGCTCCACCACCATCTTCATCATCTGACTCGTCTCCTTCAGCATCCAGTCCATCGCCCTGCTCACGGAAGGTGTGGTGGAAATTGAGACCGAAGATACCGGAATCTCGAGGCGCGTCGTCATCCTCCATGTGCTTCAGCCACTCTTCTGCTTGCTTGTAGTCGTCGTCCAGGTCGGCTTCGTCGTTGGATACGACAGTGAACGTTCCCTGTTCAATTGCTGAGATAGCAGGCGGGCTGGAAAGGACGTTGGTGTTTACTCCGTTGTTTCGTGTGAAGAACGACGTGTCTGGCACGTGTGAGATTTGAGGGAGCGGTTCAGATGAGAACTGGCGTTCCAGGTTGGAAATGGTTTTGTCCAGATCACGGTCCGTCAACGAGGTAGTAGGCCGGGGCTCCTCCGCTGGTGGTGTACTGTGCTGACTTGAGTCGTGGACACTGGGAAGAAGATGTGGACGCTTCGCGGCATGCATGGCTGTGCCCGATACTTCGTTGTCTGCATCGCGTTTGCCTAGAGGTCGAGCCCTAGCACGAGCACGCTTGCGAGTCTCCAGCGTCTGAGAGAGGCGAGCACGATCAACATGCGGCGACAAAACCTGAAGCGACTTCGTCGATTGCGATGCCGACTTTTTCAACTGGCCCTTCGCGGGCAGAATGGGTCGCTTGTCCACTTCCATTGCCTCATCCATTTCCCTTCCAGTCTTGAAGTTTGACCAGTGACCAGGGCGCTCATAGAATTCACTACCATGTGGCATCGTGGGCAACATCTTCATACCGCCGAAATAAGTAGATAGAAATGCACCAGCACTCTCGTAGTCGTGGGCAATCGCGGGTGCATGGAAGTTGAACTGGGCGCCCTTGCGAGTGACAGATGCCCAGGGAAGAAGACCAGTGTGAGCAAGGACGACGCGCTGTATGACCCGGCTGAAGTCTGCTGGATCATACGGAGGGAAGTCTTGCGTCTGACGATAGTCCTCGGCTATCAGTCCTAGTTGCTTTGCAAAGTCCGACAACAAGGACAGGGTAATGTAATGACCCTCTAGCTTGGGCTCTCCGCGTACCTCTACCCAGTCATGACAATCTGTGTCGCCCTCATTGATGCAGGCGACAAGGCGACCAGGAGTTGCCAGGCGATGTAGTTGGGTTAGATTGAACATTCGTGAGGGCAGGTGATAGCAGATCTTGTGCACCTCTTCGATGTTTGTAATAGGCTGGGTCTTGATCTCACTGGTCAAACGCGTGAATGTGGCGTGTAGGACCTCCGGCATAGTACCTAGACCCGCAAGAGCACCTCGAAGCTTCTTTATATCTGCAAAGACAATCACTCCGTGCTGGGGTGCGACGAGGCGCTCATACTCCTCAACAATCGCGTGACGCCACTCTGGGTAGGCTTCGCAACAGCTCGCTAGCCAGTGCAGGAAGCAACGCTCTTCGAAGCCACCCTCGACCTGTGTCAATGGCACTGTTCGCTTGACTGCGAAGGTCTGCCAGGGTTCTTCCACCTCGCCGGCAAGTTGTTGAATCTCGGTGCACACATCCCGCGGCGGCAGGTCCCATTGATTGTGGTAGAGTTTCGTAGCCAGGCCGTCTAGGTATGGATGCCCCAGAGTCAATATCATATGCTGCTCTTCGCCGATCTTTGGAAATGGATGCAGGAGCGACCACTCATGCTCAATCTTTTTGATCATATCAGAGCGGCATAGCCCCACCTCACGGCGGGTCGCATTGTGAATCTGGGCGTTTCGAGCAGAATACCAGGCGTCTTGCTTGTCTTGCACCAATTTGAGCATCTTCTTGCCCTTTTCAGACTCTCGCGACTCGCCTTTCGGTCCGAAGAAGTCGGCGACGACGCGCTCCATGAGAGCGGATTCTTGGCGAGCAACCTCGGTCTTCTTCGCCATGAAGGCTTCGCCGAAGGCATCTCTCGGTGGTGCCTTCCGCAGTTGCCAGATATCGCAGCAGCTCTCGACAATCTCCATCGCGGCGCGACCGTCCTCGATCATCTTCTCCAAAGGTTCAGGCATGCCAGCAGGAAACGACGTTGCCCGTGTATAGTTGACTAAGAGCACAGCTTCGGGCTTGTAGTCCCCTAGGCGAAGCAAGACACCCTCTTTGGTGACGTTTCCGTGAACGATCTTGTGGAAATGCAAGAAGGCGAGGGCTGAAAACAGTCGCCGCAAGAGCTTCGAAGCGAATGTGAAGCGCACGCGCGGATGTTGCTTCTTGATGTCCTCTTCGAGAGCCGCGTATGTCTTGAAGCCCTCATGCGTCTCGGTAATGACAGCGGGGATGTGGTTAATGTCGAGCGACTGCAAGTAACGAACGACAGATACATCGACTTTAGCCTTGCCGAACTTGAGAAACTCAGCATCCCGAAGTTCGCGGCGATTTCCCACATGGCGGAAGAATTTCGCTGTCTCGATCTTGCCTGTGAAGCGCTCGAGAACCCGGCAGGTGTTCGCGGAGACTTGTTCAGAGAGCGGCAGATAGCGATTCCGTGCCCAAGCTTCGGGGCGATCAGTGACGTCTTGTAGCTGGGGATGCAGCTCTGAAGGCAAGAATGTATCCATCGCGTAGAGTTCTCGTACTGCCTTTAACATGAAGATATCGACTCGCAAGCCGTTGACGAAGACGTGGTTGACTAAGTTCTGCCGCAGATAGATCGCTTGTGGAAAATGGTTTTGTGCATGCGGGTCGCTGAATTGAATTGGCGCACCGTTCACCTCCGTGATAGTCTCAGAAGCGGACTGCAATCGCCAGCTGCCGTTCTTCCAAACCGGTACGATTCCGAACAGAAGCAGGTCGGCTCCATCGTCAGGGAGGTACACATCGCAAGCCGGAGGCTTCGGGCTCTCGGGGTTGGACAGGCCTATGGTGTAGCAGGGTTGACCTTGGACGAGATGAAGAAAGACATGGCAGCCGTCTAAGGACCACTCGCCGCCGGCTCGTGGAGACCTCAAACGCGACTTCCTATAGGCTGTGTTGTGATTTGCGTGGAAAGCTTTGGGGTCGTGAACTGTGATGATTCCGACGACGCTATCTGGAGAGAGCCCGTCCGGGATAGGAGGATGGCGCGCGTCAATAGGCTCGTCTTCTTGCATATCTGACATGTTCGCAATCGGTGTGTGTAGCCAGAAAGGGCGCCAGGTGTGTGTGGCGGGGGACGGTTGGAGCACGGCTTATAAGGCACAGTGGTTGTCGTGTACGATGTAGTGAAGCGCCAGAACTGAGTGCTGTAGCTCGTCGAGAGTCCGTTCAGTATTGCCCCTGTGTGCGGGGTCAGCAAGAACGGCTACGCCCTCGGGGGAGTCTTCTGGTCACCAGATAAAGCCTGCGTCAGGTTTGTTCGACTATACCACTCTGTGCATGCACCAGCGACAGTGACTCACGTCGAGAGTCCGCGGGATATTGCCTAAGTGAGCGGGGTCGGCACGACAACTCAACCCTCGAGTGAGCCTGCTGATCAACAGGCAGGCGTAGGTCAGACTTGTTACCCTATACCACACTGTACGTGCACCAGCGACAGTGACCCTTACCGACAGCGGATCGATCATGAGGTCTATCCCCTCAATGGCCGCGAACGGCCCTGAGCCATGACCAAGTAGCTGAGAGCCCAGAACAACGACGTAATTCACCTCTGGAACTTAGTCCCAGCTGCAGTGAAATGATCAAACCAGTCTCTCCTTTCCGGGAAGCCGTACAGGCCTAGCAGACTGGGTTTGCCTGGCTGGGCTTTGTTGTTGATTGTGATGATGTATCTAGTGATCAGTCAGCTCAGCAACGTCATGGGTAGACACCAGACTTACACGACTGAGCCCCTTGCTATCTGGTCGAGCATGGTAGCCTTCTGAAACTGGTATGCGTCTGTCGGAAGGGACAGCTCCATGTCGGCAACCGCGATAGGTGGATCCGTTATCAGGACCTCATCCCCTTTGCTCTTCTTAGCTTTACCCCATATGAAGTAGTTGTCGAGCAACATGGCGTGTACTGGAACCCAAGGTCCCTGGCTCTTGAACTTCATTGCCATACCGCCTTGGTGAATAACGCGACGGGCCGGCTCATGCAGGCGTAGTTGCGCAAACGTTAGTGCATCTGTGCGGATACGCCTCTGGAGATTCTGCACATCTTCACGAGCCTTAGCTTCATCTAGTAAGGTTGAGATGGATGTTTTCAGCCAAGTCACGGTCTGTAGAGCACGTCGTAAACGCATAGCCTCCTGGTTTGCTGTCGGGTCATTGAGGGAGTCCGCGATGCTGACAAGCCTCTGCAGGCTGTCGATATAACTCTGCATGTGTCCCTGAGGAAGCTCCAAATAGTCTTGCCAGCTCTTACCAAAATAAGCGATACTCAGACCAAGTGTGTTGACAAAGGGTGTAAACTTCGGGTCCAGATTCTGTGTCGTTCGTAGTGAGGAGGCCGCATGCGGCATCTTGCGACAGTATTCTCGATACAGTTGTTGACTCTTGTCTACCCAAATATCGATCATGTATGGATTGCAGAGGGCATTAGTGCTGCCAGCGAGATCACGGTCCATCGCCTGGAGCAAATACTGCTGATGAAGTGTCGCAAGTTGCTCGCCGATAACGATAGCATCCATATGCTTCTCAAGGACTGGCCATTGCTTTATGATATTATCGTAGAACATTCGCTTTAGTCTCATTATGCGGTCAATAAACTTCCTCTCGGCTTCGGCCAGCGACATCCAGATACTGTGCATTTCGACATTGTACAAGGGCAACGATGCCCCAGCTGCTGCAACTTCGTCCATACCACGCGCGGTGTTACCTTGAGCGTTGTAAGATGGCTTATGCATGAATGGCAGGGGCTTTCGCGAAGGTATGCCGGTCGAATTAGGGCTTAACGGTGGAGTCTCGTACACGGTGTAAGACGATCCCGTGGACGCTTTTGATAAAATCGATGGTGCGATGGAGGAAAACATGCTATCATCAGAAGATACTGAGCGCATCTGGGGCGTTGCGACATGCTGCTCACTTGGGCGGCGAGGAGGTAACGGAGGCGCAGCTTCTGAAATCCCCATTCCGCTGTCTCCACTAAATGATCGCAGCGGCGCCGGAGTCAATGAGCCATAAGGATCATTTGGTAGCGAAGAAGGACTCTTAGACCCTGTGTGGTTGGGAGTCAAGCAAAGTGTCGTGGATGAGGTTTGCGGCATAAAGGAGAGTATGTCGCGCTCAAGGGTATCGAACAAATCTGCGTGTTCATTTGTCGTTGTGGCCTGGGGGGATGGTGCTCTCTCTGTTTCCGACTTCAGTACACTGGGAGGCGTCGTCTCGAGGGCGATCGAACTGTCTTCTGGTACCGCAGTTCCTGTTTCCTCAGACGCATCGATCTCGTGGCGTGAAGTAGACATGGCCATTGCCATAGCCCTACGATACGCTTTCGAGTTGACGACCTCATCATCGAACGTGAACTCCGTAGCTTTCGCGATGGACTCTACATCGGCCTCGCTGTCGTTCAGACTCTTCTGATCAAACAGCGACTCCGGTACCATCAGTCTCGGGTGCGACTGCCGTAAAGTCCTCGACCGCTTTACAACCTGATCGAGTGTCACACTATTATCCTCAACCAGCTTCTTGATATCTGCAATTGACTCCATCTGCAATCCTTGTATCAGCAAACTGAGCGCTGACTGCTGGCCACGGATCTGGGTGAGCAGCTCTTTGAAGGTCTCTTCCTTGAACACAAACTTCGCTTTGTCTTTGAACTTCAGGTTGTCGTTCTCCGCCTTCACTCTCAAGTCGCGTACCTCCTCTTCTAGGCACCCGTATACAACTCGACACCCCGTAAGCGCACGATCGAAGGTCTCGAGCAGCTGGGGCTTCTCCCGTAGCGCGTCATGTTGTAGGAGGCTTTGGACTTGGGACAATGACGCTGCAATGACCATGGACTCGGAGTATATCGCGGTAATGAGGACCGAGGCATCTTTGTACTTGAGGCGCAAGTCGTATAGTTCTTTTGCAGACTGGATGCTCTGGGGCAGAGCGACGAGCTATGGTGGTAGTAGGTGCATTAGCTTGGTACCATAAACCTGGGAAGTTTTCCGGAGCCTGTTGACGCGCTTAGAAATGGCAGGAACATACAGCACCGATTATACCAGACATGTCCACGCGTGTCTAATGACACCAGGGTAAACAATCAACGCGCGCGAAAGAGAAGACGCAGCATTCCAAGCGATCGCAAATGGTGGGGGTCGAAAGAAGCGTGCTTCAGCTCAGAGCTCAGCTTAGGCATCCATGTTCGCGCCTGCCCAGAATACGGGGGCCCTCTGTGCACAGATCCCCCGCGGCCAGGACATCAATACGTCACGGCTACATTACGGTGTCTACTAGGTAGGCATTGGACTCAGGTCATGCGTTCAGGCAGAGCGCACATGAGCACGCCGCCAGATTTTAGAGAAAGTCGGATTACTGACTTGCTGGCTCTTGCGTGTCTCCCGCTGAGCTCGATCATCCCAATTGTATAATACAAGGCAGCGGAGTCAACATAACACACGGCGCCAGCGAATGCCTGTCTACCAAAGGCGCGTTGAGAAGTAACGAAAAATTACCATCCCACCATCAGAATACCCATCAATCATGCTTTCCCTTTCCCATTTCGATCAAAATCCAGGGGTATGTCCAGCTAAAAATGCCAATAGTTCATGCGAAACGGAGGCTCAGAAATGCGAGGAGAAGTCGTAGTTGGTGGCTCTGCAGGATACTACCTTGCAAATACCTTCACTATGCCGTCGCCACCTGCTGAGACGACAAGGCGACCGTCCTGACTCCAAACTACGCTGCACACACCTTCGCCACGCATGATACGATGCGCGGTGATCTCCTGTGTGCAGATGCGCTTGTCAAGGGACCAAAAACGAATGGAAGCGTCGTGGCCAGCGGAGACGGCTTCCCGGCCGTCTTTGCTGAGCGACAACGAAGAAATAGCTGCAGGGTGTGCAAGCATACTGTATGTACATTGTCCTGTTCTTGATTAGCGAGGATGTATTTCTTGATATTGCAAAACGTACCTGAGTTGGCATCGAAGAACCGGATGAGATGGTCTTCGTGCCCACTGATTACAACCCCTTCGAGACCGCCATTGGCAGATCCCGTCGGGCCGTGTATACCTTCCTCGTCAGGACCACCGCGACCCGCCTCTTGTGACGAGCCTTCAAGGTATTGGGAACTTGTCACGACTGATGTAATACCAGTCGCTGGAGTGCCGTCATATGACTCATTGCTAGCCATACCAATCAATTCCTCACCGGTCCTCGTGTCGTACACCAATATAGATGCGTCGGAGAATGAGACAACAAAGTTCTCTCCAGTGGGTGACAGCGGGCTGATACAAGTAGGTGAAGGATGCGTGTCGCGCTCGATAGTATGTATCAACGTGTGATGGAATGGTGTCGTAGTAGCAATGCTGGGCTGCGGTGAGGATGGGTGATGCGAGCCAGATGTGACGGAATGTCTTCGGCTACCACCAACACCACGTCGAGATCCCGTCTGCGGTGAGACCAGCTGAGGCGGTGCACTTACAGCCCAGATTTTTATAGTGCCGTCAGCAGACCCAGAAGCAAGTATGACGCGGTCCGGTCCTCCATACTTGCTACTATCCGCGCCAAAGAGATTAGCACAGTTGGTCGGAAGAACGCATACAGTCCAAACAGCATCTGTGTGCCCTTCCAGAGTGGCCTTGGGATCGACCCGGCCTCGTTCCCATACGCGGATCGTAGCGTCTTGACCACCAGAGAATATCCAGCCATCGCCAGAGACTCTTCCGCCCGTAGCGAAATGAGCAGAAGCGGGGCAGGCTGCCAATGATGTCACAGTGCCTTCATGTCCTCGATGTGACCAGAACGGCTGGATGTCGAGATCATTGTTCATGCTGTGCTGGTTTGCGTAACTTGCGGGAATCATCCATCTCTTGATCATGCCATCGTCTCCTGCGGTACAGATCTCGGGTTCACTAGGACTGCCGCCCCCGGTGAAGATGACTGACCGCACGACATCAAGGTGACCGCGGAGTGCGAATCGAACTTTGAAACTTTGCGGGTCGTTCTTTGCTGCTGACTGAGCTACGGCTTGCTGTGCTTTCTGGTCGTTGCTCAATCGCCTAACATGATCTTTGCTGGCCCTCTTGACTGGTCGTGGTGGCGATTTTGCTGGGATGCTATCCGCTGATGGAAACTCCTCGGTGTCTGGCCGCCTTGGTGGGCCATCCTGAGCTGTCTCCGATGCCGGGTCGAAGATCCAATCATCTGTATCCTTGTCTTGGTTGGCAGCCTGGCTTGCATCCGACGCGTCATCTCCACGTATCGGTATTTGACGGCCTTCGTTGTCGAAAGCATGAGTGACCTTTTCAACCTGCTCTTCGGGCACTGAGGAAAAGTGCTGCTGGTTCTGGACCTGGCGTTGATGTCCAGCGAGAAGCTCTTGCGCCATGGCAGCGTTGGACGGAAGTGGTTGTTGCTGTGAAGGCTCTCGTGCCATCTGCGGTGCGTGGTGGATTTGATGCTGGTTGGCCAAGCTCTGTAGTTCGGACGGGACTGGTACGTTGGGAGGTTGGTGGGTAGGCATCGATGTGCCTGGCATGGTTGGAAGCTGCGACTGCAGCCTCTGGCGATGTTGCTGGAGGTAGATATCTTCCATCGAGGCCTCGCCATGGTTCATGTAGCCGTTGCCGTTTGCGAGCGGCTGCATGTTCTGCTGTTGTTGCGGGGCTTGCGGGGGTGGTGTAAGAAGATATGTTATCTCTTCGACGCATTTCGTAAGGTAGAGCTTCGACTTCTCTCGTAGATTCTCGCGGTCGGCCTCTGCACGGTCGAGGAACTCTGAGTCAACGTCGAGGAAGGAGTTGTGTTTCTTGTTTTGAGCTTCGCCAGGTTAGTAAACGTCCGAAATGTGATCTGGCATGAAGTATACGCACGCTTCGTCGAGTTCCTGCCACTCTTCTTGCCCTTGGGGTCCTTGTCGTCTGTTGTGGCCTCGGCGTCACCTCCTGCTGCCTCGCTCTTCTTCTTTCTCTCGTTGGTGAGGGCCTGTTCCAGCATGCGAATGTGCTTGTTCAGCTGGTCGTTGAGCTTCTTCGCACTCCGCACCTCACCCTCCTGTTTTGCAATCTTGGCCTTCATCTCGGCGCGCTCGATGTCCCAGGCATTCCGTGCACGCTCGTGGTTGTGCCATTCCAGCTGTAGAAATCGCATCACACCTGTGAGGGGGTCAGCCTGCCAGTCTCCCCGCCAGCTCTACGGCATGTCCAGGGGAAGCGCATACCCTGCAATGTGTACTCTGTGCCGGCAGGCGCATTGCCGTCACCCCCTCCGTTGGCACCGCCGCCGTTCATGGCCGAGGGCGACTGCCAGGCCATGACAGAGGTATGCTAGAGCGTCGTCGCGGCGATCGTTGGTGCGTAGAGAGCGTCCAGTGCGGGTTGGCATGCGGCGTCGGGGGTCGGCAACAGCGCGGTCGACGTGTCGGAATCTGGCTCCAGAGCTCGGACCCTGGGGCACCGGACACAGGCAGAGACGCGGATAGTGATTGAGGCAGTAAAAAGACGGGCAGTGGGGATTATGCGCACGCGCAGTAGCTGGTCTCGTCACGGCTGCGGCAGCATCTACACATGTTGTCGCACAGGGGAGGGAGCCATGCAGACGTAGCGCTAGGGCGGGACCTTGACGCACGGGCCACCACGACTGGATGCGGGAGCAGTGAGCGCCGGTTCATCACTTTGCTACTCCAACCACTTTTGCGGTGCACCCTTGAAACTATCTCAAGCTTACCCATACCGACTACAGTATCTGGGGATCGAACTCAGACTTACAGTTTTTGCGCGGAGGTGGGCTGGATTTTCATATCCATGGATCGCTTCCAACCTTGGAAGCCATACGTACAAGCGATGAGCTCATATTCCCATCAAACTCACCATCAGTACTGATAAGCAGCCACTGGGTAGTGACCTGGTCTGTGATACCTTCACTGTAAGTAATTCCTCCGTCTTGTCTTCTCAACCGTCATCTTCTCCGTCTTCACTCTTGCTACGTCACTGCCTCCCAATCCTGTCTGCAATACCACTTGCTGCCAGTCGGCCGAGCCCGTGTCGCCTGACAGATTATCCTTTTCAAACATTCAAGCGTATCGTGTACAATCTGGTCGGGTCGTTGAATGGTTATCTCAGGGCCGTGATCGATCATTGCCGCCCCGCATGGCGCCGTGCTTCCTAATCACACTTCAGGTTCTCCGACATTTTACTGACGGTTATCACAGGTTCAACGTCTTCTGGGCAGTCCTTTGCGTCTGGAATGATCTTGTATACTGTCACTTCCAGATCTTGTAGTCGAAAAGCCGCCGCTTTGCCTAAGCGCACGACCGTGACTAGGCGGCCAAGAACGGTATTATGTTCGATTTCCATCAAGTCTCACTCTTAGGTTCAAGTATCAGTCACTCAGACATCATCCTCGGCAACTATTCCTCGGCACCCTCGTTGGGTGGCAACGACAAAGCTACGTCTGGTGCACCCGCCCCCACCACCTTACCGTCCAGCATTCCATGGGGCATCGAAAATGCGACAAAAACATTAGATCAGAGTAACTAGTATGTCACAGTATTACCGACGATCTTCATGCATGCCGTCGCACGGTCGGGGACTGGAATGGTGCCTTACCTTGTACATGCCAAGTGGAGCCTTCCCGATTGGTACAAGAACGTAACCTTGTCACAACAGTAGAACCTCTTCCCAGCAAGACCTGACCACATTCACCCCACCTCTCGCCAAACACCACCACCTCGAATCCGCTTCGAACCCCCGGCATCACGGTCGCGCATCTTTATTGATTCCATCGACACCGACATTTAGCCCAAATAAATCACCCGAGATGGCTGGTGGTGGTAAAGGTACGCGCTGACTTTGCGTCGCGCTCCGAAAGGCCTCGAGAGCTAACAGGATGCGCAGGAAAGACAGGTGGCAAGACAGGAGGAAAGGGCGATGCGCAAGTCAAGACTCCCAAGTCGCACTCCGCCAAAGCCGGCCTTCAAGTGAGTAGCTGCCCAATACGCGTCATCACCATTGCACCCCGCGCAATGCTTCGCGTGCAGCACAAAGAAACCACGCGCTAACGTGCCGTCTTCACTACAGTTCCCTTGCGGTCGCATAAAGCGCCATCTCCGAAACCTCACGCGACAGAAGACGCGCATCGGCGCCAAAGCCAGCATCTACCTGACCGCCGTTCTCGAATACTTGACCGCCGAAGTTCTCGAACTCGCAGGCAACGCTGCCAAGGACTTGAAGGTCAAGCGCATCACGCCACGCCATCTCCAGCTCGCCATCAGAGGTGACGAGGAACTCGACACACTCATCCGTGCTACCATTGCCTTCGGAGGTGTTTTGCCGCACATCAACCGCGCATTGCTACTCAAGGTGGAGCAGAAGAAGAAGGGCGGTGCCGCAAAGGTCGGCGAGGTATAGGTGGCTGGTTCTCTGGGCAGTACGCGCACGCGCCATCATCGTGGCAAGACGGACCATTTCGCAAGCCAACTATGGCCTAACAAGCGGTCAAACGTCTGTCACATGTATGGATAAGCACGCTCTTTGTTTGGCTTTACTACACATTCTGCCGTCCTCTTGACGGGGACAGCTCATCTTTCTGCTGAAGTACAGGATGTTAGGATACGGTGTTAACTCTCTTTAGTCAGGCGCGAGAGGATCGGTGTTGAGGTCATGGATTTCATTTGTCCTTTGCGGTATGTAGCAACACTCAATTGATGCCAGTGAGCGACAAGAAAAGCCCATCGCATTCTCCGATCGAACGGTACACGATTTGCACCCAAGACGCGTTCGCGCATGTCGCATAGCTACGTCCTCTGGTTCAACAGAAGCGAAAGCGCAATGCTCAAACGCGCATAGCACGAGTGCATGTGTGTTGAATGATGATCAGACACGCGCTGTGGTGTTTGCGGATTCGGCTTGCGCGACAATCACGAGTATCTCGATTCCGAGTTTGGTCACACAAATGTATACTCCCGTCTCTCAAACCACACATGACGCGAAAGGAAGCTGTATGCTTGCAAGGCAACTACAGGGTATACCAATGTCAGCATAACATTTATCTCATTAAACATTCAATCTTTCTTCATCTCCAAACTATCACAATCTTTCATTACCATCCCTCCACAACTACCCTTCGTCAACATGTTTGGATCTCCGTTCAGCCGCGACTACTCTCGCCGCACCCCCATGCCCTCTGCATACGTCTACCCAAGCTATACAGCCCCAAACCAGACTGCTTACCACCCTCAACGTACATACGACGCACCTCGCCAACACCGCCATACGCCGCGTCAACATCCCCAACCACAGTACCGCTCCCCTCAGCCCCGACAAGGCCGTTTTTCTAGACGCCCCTCACACTACTCCGACATCTCCCCCAGCCCCTCTGAACATGACACCCGAGATGAAATACGCCCATACTACATGATGCCATCCGGCGACCCCCACGCAAATATTCCACCCCAGTTTCGTCGCCAGAGAAACCATAGCCAACCTCCACCTCCTCCCTCCTCTCCACCCCCCTCGACAAACACAACCTCATTATTCCGCCCTTTCCACGCCAGAGTCACGCCCAGGGCGGCGCAGAAATTGGGTAAAGATGAGATACTCATCTTACCGCCCTTGCTTACGCGTCTGCGTGTGCAGATGAGAAGTAGGGATGGGGATGAAACCTTGCGTGTGAATGTAGCAGGAGATATGCGGATTCGCGATGTTGTTGAGCAGCTTTTGCCGGAGTCGGCATTGAATGAGGGTACTAAGGTGTGGGTCAAGATGAGAGGGTCGTGGCTGGAAGCCGGGTGCGCTCTTGTTAGTCAGATTATGGAGCAAGGAAGGTTTGTGTTGAATGAGAGGGGGGAGGTGGAAGTCAAGATCGAGATTGGGGGTGGTGGTAGACAGACGGTACGAGATGTGTAACAACAACAGTTTGTTTCCGGTTGAAATGACCTTGGGTGTAGAGAGAACAACAAGCAATGATTAAGGGCAACTCGAAAATATAAAAGGTAGTTGAACAAAATGCTAGTACATCCATTCGCTCCACATACTCCACCACCCCAGCCGGACCGCAGGATCCGCACTGCTTCGATCCGAAAACGCCAAACATCGTTCTAAGATTCTGAATAGTATGGGTAAGATGCTCCAAGGCATGAGAGGTACAAAAAAAGTTGACCTTGAGAAAGAGAACCTCCCTAGGGACCCAAAGGCGAAGTGAAAGAAAAAGGACATTCGTTCGTATACAATACAATGCGACAATGCCATGAGAAACACAGGAACGAGAGTCATTTGCCTTCATGCCCATTGTTGTCGTTGAAAAATTTGGCCTGCGACTATACTCCTATGACTTCAGGCTGTCCTGCATGCTGCGGCTGCTAGCACTGAGCGGGATGTTGGTTGTAGGAAGGACGGTCTTGGGCTTGCTGTTTTGGCGGACCTTGGCAAGGGCGTAGACGAGACCACTGACGAAACCGACGAAGATGGCGGAGCAGCTGCCGAAGGTGACGGGCGCGTCGAAGAATACGAGACCGCTGAGCGCGATGGGCAGCTTGTTCAGAGCACCGACCATGGAGTAGGTTGTCGAGGAGGTGACACGGACGGCCCAGGCGGAGGTGTACGAGATGAAGACTGTGGAAAGACCGGAGATGATCATGACCATGATGACGGTGTTGCGCTGTTCGACGGGGAAGTTCTTTGCGACGTTGGCGGAGGACCAGTCTTCGACGAGGATGGAGGCGACGAGCAGGATTGGGATGGTGAGGAGGTTGTTGTAGTACATGGCTGCTCGAAATTAGCAATTGCTCCATTTGGTTTCGGTGTTGGATAAACTTACTGTCAAAGTCCTTGAAGTTGGTGAGCTTGATGCGCTTGCGCATGCACAGAACGTAGGTTGCCGAGCAAAAGCAATTGAACATCATCCAGAGGTATCCGGCGTGCAGAGTCGACATGGCCTCAGTGGTCTTCTCTGTAGCGTGACCCATGCTCGATAAAGCGTGCTGGATGTCTGCCCAGGCCGCAATGACGGAACTGAGGACCATCAGTCCGAAAGAGAAGAGCGCCATTGGTGTAACTGCACCGCCGAACCAGAGCACCTCTCCGTATGCGATCAGGATGATGGTCAAGTTCTTGAAGATGGTGTAGACGGGAATCGAAAGGTACTTGAGCGCCCAGGTACTGGTGTAGATCATGCCGATGAGGAGGACGGAGATGGGGAACCCTGGCGATGTTAGCATCTTCCCGTATTGTCGATGGTAGATTGGACCTACACTTCTTGGCCTCGTCGCTATTGAAGTCGCGGTAGTTGATGATACCAAGGGCTTTACATATCGAAA